TCAAGTGCTGTTAGTGACATATGTTAAGCTGTGTTCCCATGTGTTCTGAAAGAAAAATATAAGTATGTAATTTTGTTCACTTGTAATTTCACTGGAGAGGGTATAAACAATAACCATTTTAAATTACAGATACAGGAAAAATAGGAATTAGAAATCTGAATTTCAGTGTCTTTTTGGATCTGTTAGATTCTAAACAAATACTTATAAACAAAGTCAAACTGGGCAAATGCAAATAGCAAGGTAGCAGGTGCCAGAACTAAACAATTCAAATCAGTCACATATACAAAATGACTGACCCCTTGCTGATTAGATCATACCTTATGCAGGGCTTTGCACGCAGGAAACAAACCCAGTTTTCACTCTGAAGTGGCTTCAGAGGGGATGACTTCTGCATCAGATCCCACATTGCAGTCCTGCACCACTGTCAAGTGCCAGGGCCCTGGTTCACCTTCCCCTGCCCTTAGGAGCTGCCTCAGCCCCAGCGTGGTGGGACTGTGCCTGCCTGGAAGGGGAGGGCACGGCCCCTCCAGCCTGTGGTCAGCCGCTGCCCCAGCACAGGCACATTGGGAGCTTGGTCATTTTGATTAGGAATCTTAAGTCACTTCCTTCAACTGAAGTGATAAATACATTTAATTCTTCCCCTTCTTCCTGGTTCCTCGTGCTGTTATATTTCATGTGCAATCCTCAGCTGCGTTTCCACTGCTTTAGTCCTAGAGTAGAAAGTATGTGCCACTGAATTCACCTAGGAAAGCAATCTGATGAGTATCCAACGATTCTCTTTATGATGCCAAAAGAGAGCACACGGGGTACATACATGAAGCTGAGATGGATTTAGCAAAAGACATACAAAATACCTAGGATTTGTACTTTTAAACAAGAATGGTTGCACAAAAGAAAACCATGGACAGGTTTCAACTAAACCAGCTTCTAGTCCAGACTGGTCATAATAATGACTGGCTTTTTACTCTTGTTTTGATCTTATATTTAGAAACTTACTTGAAATCTTCCTAATGTATTTGGATAAGATGGCTGAATATCTACTGTTTTCATGACTTCCAAGAACAGTTGTGTATTGTGGCTGTTATGCAATCAAACTAATAAAAATTTCTGACTTGCATAATCAATCTGAAATGATCTCAAAATAATTTTTCTTTTTTTGAAGACATACAGTGTGATAAAATTCTGATCAACTGCTTCCCCCTTTTACATTAGCTCAAATGTAATCAAATCTTCTTGATCTGTTTATCTCGATTCCAGAACTAGAAACGTGAATTTGTGAAATATTTTTTCAGTTTTATTTCAGTTTTTAAAATGACTTGCAGAGTAGGAAACCTTGAAAAGTTCAGAATATTTAATTTTCATATATTCAAAATTTAAGTTGGCTTTTTTTTGTAAACTTCAATCAACTTCCTGCTTTAAAATGTTTTTTTCAACTTAATTTGACAAAACACTCAAAACATTCTGTAATGTTTCTGAATTTTCAGGGAAGTAAAATGCCAATTTTTCTCACAGTACTAAGGGAGGCTGAAATCCAATGTTGATTCAAAGTCCATTTCTTAGGCAATTAACAACTTGGTTTATCTCTTGAAAAGTGCAATTCAACCTTGCAAGAAGGGTGAGAGTTTCTTTAGCCCCATCGTAAATATATATCTGTGATAAGGTAGCTCTGAATCTCTTATCTGTGATAAGGTAGCATTTACCAAGTTGGGTTTTAACACTGACGTACAGAAGTTTATCAACATTTAGGGTGCTCCATGTATAAACTCTTCTCTTGAATTAATTTTTAAAAGGTAGATACATCAAAAGAATGCAGCATGCATTTCAGACTGTCGCAAAACTGTACACATGCTTTATGTATACAACCATATATAAAGACAATATATGCACAGGATCACTAGGAAGATCAGGTGGCTTAATTCTAAATCAGAGAAGCAGAATTAAATCACTGGGTTTGCTATTTTTTTCTGCTTTCTACGAGTTCAGTTCTAACAGTAGTCAGGATATCAAAAATCATGACATAGAAGAAGGCTAAGGGTTCAAAGTCTCTGAGTTCTGCATTTCAGAGAATACATTATATTCTATGCGTGCCTGGAACAGATAAATGTATGCTGGAGTATTATGCATGGTGTAAGCTAACATAGATACACAAACCACATACAAAAGTCACTCAACATCTGGTACATAGCCTCTTTAAGCCAACAGTAATATATACTTCAGGTTAATTTGGAACAAGAACGGTTTAAATGCATTTGCATGTTTCCATTCATTTATTTCATTAAGGTTTACTGATTCAGTAAGGCAGACTATTTCAAAGCATGAGCATGAACTTTTTTAGTAGCTCCTCGCACTGTTTGATAAAGAAGACTTGTAACACCAGAGGAGATATTAAAGTACAACTTCAGATAATCAGAAAATAATTTCTTAAAGCCTAATGTGAAGCCTCCGAGGAAGGAGATATATGTGTATATATAGAGAGGAAGAACAATTCTTGGCTACAAAAGTTATCTCTCCCCTACACTGATTATTATATAACATAAAGGCTCTCGCATGTTAAAGTCAGAGTCCTCTCTGTCACCCAGGACTATGTTTACCATGGAAACTACTATTGCTGAGTAATTTGAAATAACTCGGGTAACCTGATCATAACATCGCTCTGCAGTTTCAGAAATGTTGGAACTGCAGATTAAATAATCCACTCAAAATCCATTTAAAATCACACGGTAACCTGACCATCGCATAACTCTGTGAAATTACAGAAATACTAAACTGAAAAAGATTAGATAATCTGGCAAATTGAACGAGAAAGGGCAGACATGTTTTGCTTCAATTTTTCCTCATAATAGACTACATCTTGCCTGGTGCTTTACAATTATGCCTCCACAACTGAGAGAAAGGGAAGATTTTATAAAGGCTTAAAAAATTACGTAACAAAACCCGCATGGGATCATTGAGGGATAAGGTTAGGCAAAAATATGTCAAACTTCAGAAATACATATGAAGCTAAAGCATATTGATTAAATATTACTATTTTACTTGGGTGTCTTGCTTCAGCAGACCCACTAAAATGAGATCCTTTTTTCTTTAAACATTTTTTCTGATGGCTGAATATAAAAATACTGCCTTAACATGCTTCTGAAAGCTATATGTATTTAACACTGATAGTGTGAGCTTCTATCCTTAGATTACAAATCAAATACAATCTGTGAGACAAATTTTGCCCTGAGGAACAAGTACATATCTCAATGGGAGTCATGAAAAGGCAATGGAGATTTTTCATTTATCAAGAAGCGTTGTGCTCAGATGTCACTGGCACATGTGTAGACCCTCATCAAAAGTACAACGGTTCTAAATTCCTTTTTCTAATATAAAATTTAGATATGCTGTCAGATAAGAGAATAATCAGTTAAAGATGTTAAAATATATTTGCTGATTTCTCTCTTGTCATTTATTGAAGTACTTCAAATATTGCTTCTCCAAGGAAACAAGACTGACATTATAAGAGAGGTATTTGTGGTTACAAATGCTAGGAGGCAAAAAAAGGTGCTCTGAATGTATCATTGTGAATAATATTATACAAAGATAGTTTACAGAACTCAACTTCTCAACACCAAAGGCTGCAAACCTGGTATTAAACATCTAAAGCAAAGGAAAAGGAAAGAATCCTAGACATCAATGGTCTTGGGTAAGTAGGCAGTTTTTAAAGAAAGCTCAAATAAATATAGCCTTTGAAGGAGGAGGAAACTAACAGGTTTTTCTTTAAAGCGGAAAATATATTTTTAGACAGAATGCATGTATCACACTATACGCTTGCATTACTTAACAAGGCATGAGAAGGCTGTGTCTCTAGCCAAAACTTCTATATCGTCATTCTATCAAGTCAAATATGAACAAAATTGAACAGATGTGATGGGAATGTAGAAAAGACTATGCTGGTGAGATACAGCTCCTGCAAAAAGAAGAGAGCTTCAGGTGAGGATTGAAGTAATTGTCACCTGAAGTAATAACTGAATTTGAATATTACTGTTATGAGAAAATGATTCCTCTAAGAGAAAAAAACAAACAAACAAACAAACCAACACCAAAAAAAAAACAAACAAAAAAAACCCAAAAAAAACCACAAAACCCACCCAAAACCTTTGAAACTCACTATATTATAAGAAACAGAAAACTAGGTTTGGAAGAAGTTCCAGAAATGTTAACCTAAACACAAATATTTCCCAAGTGTAACAGAATTAATGCTTTTTGGCCCCCACATTTTTGACTGTATGAAGACAATTTGCTCTGTTAAAGCTTCTGGACATGCTAAGTGATAACTAGACCTAAAATGAAATTAGCATCAACTATATTTACTTAGTACCCTACAAACTTTTCCGATATATTTACAAAAGTGGAATCCTATTTACTGAGTTCAAACAACTTTTGTAACTGAGGAACAGTGTTACATAGGCTATTTTTAAACCTGTGGAAAGGCAATGATGAATTTCCTGAGTGTATCCTCCATTACTCAGTCTATCTACTGATGACGTGTTGTCCTCCCTATTATTTGTAATTTATATCTATATCATGCTTTTCTTTACATCTAGCTGATAGAAATGTTTCTTGTACTTATTTAAAACATAGCAATCTATACCACATACAAAATGGAAAGTGTTTACAGATTTTTCCAGAACATTCTTCTTTTGAAATTTTTCATATTAACTATGGCATATGAAGAAAACTGTATTGATGGAGACAAAACCTCTAGGTATTTTAGCTTTGCAACTGATTATATCTAATCTTCTAGACAGAAAGATAATGTCAGATAAAAGAGAAGCAGTTTTATAACTAATTGCCCATGCTTATCAATAAAGGGAGAAAAAGTGTATTTTGGAGTTTCCTTTCAAATCAAGCTACACCTGAAGATGTGTAAAAGTCACTAATGTTCAAAAGCACTCATCACTACTCTTATACATAGCAGCAAGATTAACAAATAATTAACAGCATTTCCAAAACAAACATACCTCAAAGACATTGGTGTTTTAATTCTTCCGAAGAATTACTACCTCAGCTCCCTTTTTGTCTTCTGGTCTTGAATTTGTTGTGTAACCTAGGAAAAATAAATCTCAGCTTACTTTCAAACTGGAATCATAAGGTTAGACCTAAGGAAAAAAACCTTAATAGCATTGCAGTTAATTCCTCTGTAATCCTACCTCATTATCTTAAGCAAATAAATCTCTGAAAAGGATTGCCTTATTAAAAGCGAATTAGAAAACTGAATGTCATCTGTGCAGGGAGACATTCTCTTAAAATGCAATCAGCAAGGAAGCTCATAAATAGGGCACTATATAAAAATGTTCCTATCAGGCAATCCTTAGCAGATTTTCAACAGATGTGTATGTAACTATGATTTCACAAATTCCTAAAATAAAATGTGTCAACATCGTTTACCACGAACTTTCAGGAGTCTAAAAAAACCCTACTCATTTAGATTCTACAGAGAGAATAATATTATAAAGATGTGTAAAATGTAGCAAGAGTAGCTATTGAATTGTCATACCTCCCACTCTTGTATGTTATCATAATGTTTGATTTACCAAGGAGAACTTGAAAAAAAAAACAACAACAACAAAAAAAACCCCGGTTTTTATGTTTTGATTTTATTTCTACAACCATGTAATATTCAGGAGGCATAGCCCCTAGGTGCCTCTTAACACTCGTTACATATTTTTAGAAGTGCACGTGGAGTGTGTAGCAGTGAAGTAGTGCATGCTATAAAGAGAAATCAGACACAAAATACTGCAGTCACTATCGTTGTTAGAATAAGTTTTCTCAGAAAATGTTTAGCAATTGTAGGCATGCTTTGATACATAAATGAGACATAGAAAACATGGGTTATCACTGGAAAAAAATAACAATTCAATACTATTACAACAGAGATCTATTTATTTAATTTTTTTTTATGAAGAAGTGAAAACTTTATTTTTAACTTAAAATAACAGGTATCTGTAAAAACAAATAAAAACAAATGCTCTTTTCATTTATTAGTACTGAACTTCTCAGTTTCACTTTAAAATACTTTTCTTATGCTGTGAGTTATTCCTTACTTCCAGTTACTTTGTATATCTGTACCAACACAATCAAGTTACTTTAAAATAAAGCAACACAGAACACAGTTTGCATGAAGGGTATGCAAGGATAACAAAACTAAGTGAACTCAGCTCTGGGAAATGTTTGTGACATATGAAACCTTAAGACAATGTAGAAAAAAGTAATGAAGGTAGTGTTAAAAGCAATAGTAATAAATAGTATTAAAAGTAGTAAAAGGCAGACAAAGCCAAAAGAGAAATGAAAAACAGCCAAAAAAAATTAATCAGATTAATTAATTGTTCATACCCACAAGCCAGCAATGTAGCAGGTCAGAAAGAAGTCAGGAAACTAATTTCTGACAATAGCTGGTTCTAAGTCCTTTACTTCATTATTTCTCAAAAAACAAGTATTATAATCACCCACACATGACTTTGAACATGAGAGCCAAGGTGTGCTACAGAAACTAAAACAAAGCATCCAGCATTCACAGTAAGATGAAAGAAGTAGCATTAACATGTAAGCTTCTTTAAGAGCTAGGAGACTCTGTGTTTCAGGTTCTCAAAATTAAAATAGTCACACTGCTACCATTAAGGCCAAATCTTGATTTAAAATATTTGTAAGTGTCCTTGATTGAGGGCTTTGTATTACTTATTTCAAATGGTAATATAATGCAGTCTCATATAATTTTTCACGTTACTCCTTTTGATAACAATTTTTGACACTGGGAAGGTTCAAGCTGAACCAATGTGTCTTCATCTAAGAGCTATTTTCATCTGAATGCTACAATATTTTAATGGTACACTGAAAATAACATAATGGAGTGACAGTGGTAAAAGTAACTCCTGCTTGAATGATGTATCTTTTAATAAAACAAGGTGAAAATTAGCAACAAAACAGATCCTTTCTTTTATACTGACATCTTTCTTTTAATTATTTAAATACATTAAGTAAGTAGAAGCCTTCAAATACTTTGTGTCATGGAGCAAGAGCACACATTTCAAAGTTTGTAGTGTCTCACACAAATACTTACACCTTTGTATTACTATATTAGGTGGAGTATTTTGTCAGAATTATTGATTTTATGGTGTTTGCTGAGACTTGAGAAAATGCCCTGTTCTTTCAGTCTACTAATTTTTATCCTGTTTCTTTTTTCTCCCGACTCTGGTTGGCTGGTTGGTATTTGTTGTTTGGGTATTGTAAAGGCTCCTACTAAGTATTCATCCTTGTTGTCCATAATTCTGAAATCTGATACTTTCTTCTCTAGTGTGCTTTTAGATCCACAATTTCAGTTCCATACGCATCTGTGGTATTTGTCAATCATTTTAAGAAATATATGAAGTAATTATTCTTACTGATATCAGGTTGAAAGAAACCCACAGGTTTAGTCTAGTTCCTCTAGATATATGAATGTCCATATTTACTATCAGAAATGCAAACTGACAGTCTTAACTTTGTTTTTTCCAGTTGTTTTATTCCTGTAGTGCACAATTGTGTGCAAGGTTGTAAAGAATCACTGATCAGTTTGTAACCTAATATTCAGAAAACTTGAATTTTAGTGGCATCTAGAGCCCTAGCTTCTTTAAGGGAAATCCCTGTCACAAAACCCATACTAAGAAAAATTCTTTTAAAACCCCCCCAAACAAACAAAACCAAACAACAAAAGAGTTTATTCATTAAACACAGAACTGGATCAGTTATGTTGTGTTATGAAGTATGGACACATTTAAATTCAACTCTTGTCATTGTGGTAGCGACTCTGTTCTTAGAAATCATCATTTGCAGGTTTCAGGAAAAACAGTAAAAGAAACCATAACCAAAAGCTTTCCTTACAGGTTTTCCATTGTCTTATGCTATTTGAAATGTCAAGTTATGGCTCCTAAGTTAGAAACTCTACTATGAATAAAGACAGGCCTATGAAATTATTAATAAATTTATTTATCTCTACAGAATGAAAAAGAACAGAAGATGACAAAATTAATCAGACTATAGGAGTACAATTCAGACGGTGTTCAGAGAGTGGAATAGGCTGCCCAGGGACGTGTTGGAGTCACCATCCCTGGATGTGTTTAAGGGTCGTTTGGATGAGATGTTGGGGGATATGGTGTAGGGGAGAGCTCTGTAGAGTAGGGCTGATGGTTGGACTCGATGATCCCAAGGGTCTTTTCCAACCTGAATGATTCTGTGATACTGTAATTAACTATTTTTTAATTATTTTTATATTGTGAGAACTTACCAGTGTTACTAGTGACTAGTGTTTCCAGTTTTTCATTAAAGCAGTTTGTTTAAAGCAATGTGAACATGGACTATTAACTACTATTTGTCTTTGTGTCATAGTACCTGGATGAAAAGGATTTCCCCAAGATAACAACAGCTAGAAAAGACAGCTTTAAATTGTAGATTTTCTCTTTGTTTTCCCAAAGAGATCAATACTCATTTTTTTCATCTCATAAACATCTTGGCATATCTTTACCTACAGAAAAAATAAACTTGCAGACAACAGTGACAATGAATGAAGTCTTTAGGTTACAGCTGAGATCTTCAGCTATGGCTTACCTGTAATCTAAAATCAATTACTTGGCCTCAAACAATTCAACCTACAGTTAGAAATAATTCACTTTCTGGGGACAAGGAAATAAATAATTTTGCTCCTAAATACTTGATTTGAAACCACCTGACAAAGGAAAGAGCTTAAGCACCAGCACAGAGGAACTGTGTTTGTACAGGTAGCATTAGCATCACTTAATTGTCTATATAACAAATAAATAAATAAATAAAAAGCATCTTAAAACCCCCAAAGTTTGATGTCATTAAATAGAGAACATAATAAAAGGGAATGAAAATTCCCTCAAACTCCTGGTGATCAAAGCCATGTGCTAACCAAGGCAAGGACAGATACAGTTATTGGGTGCATATATCTTAAATGAATTTATGGGATTATTTACTGAACTACATGTTCCAAACATCACAGATCTGTGGAGGTTTTTAACCTGAAGTGGTGCGAAGATGACACTGGTTGACTACAAATGCTCTTTATCTTAGTTGCCAACTTTTCCCACCATTATTTTTCTTTTACATTTCCTAAATAGAGTTCCATTTTAATTATATTTTTATTAATAACAGAACAAAGTTAATATTAAAAGTTCCATATGAAAATGAGATCAAGGTGCCTCATATCCATATTATTTCTGCTATCTACATAATTTTTCTTCCTCTTAATTTCCATTATAAGTTTCTCTTTATGCACACAAGTCTGTGGGACCGGATGGGTTACACCCAAGGGTGCTGAAAGAGTTGGCAGAGGTGCTCACCAAGCTGCTTTCTATGATTTACCTGAAATCATGGCTAACTGGGGAAGTCCCATTGCCTGGAGGGTGGCAAATGTGACACCCATCTACAAGAGAGTCAGAAAGGAGGATCCAGGAAACTATAGACCTGTCAGTCTGACCTCGGTGCCAGGGAAGGTCATGGAGCAGGTCATCTTGAGTGCCATTAAATTCATATAATGGACAACCAGGGGATCAGGCCTAGTCAGCATGGGTTTGTGCAAGACAGTTCCTGCCTGAAAAACCTGATCAACTTCTACAACAGGGTGACCTGCTTATTGGATGAGGGAAAGGCTGTGGATGTTGTCTACCGTGACTTCAGTAAGGCCTTTGGCACCATTTCCCACAGCATTCTCCTGGCAAAATTGGCTGCTTGTGGCTTGGATGGGCACACGCTCTGCTGGGTAAAAAACTGACTGGACGGCCGGGCCCAAAGAGTTGTGGTGAATGGAGATACATCCAGTTGGCGGCCGGTCACGAGGGGTGTCCCCCAGGGCTCGGTGTTGGGGCCGCTGCTGTTTAACACCTTTATGGATGATCTAGACGAGGGGATCAAGTGCACCCTCAGTCAGTTTGCAGATGACCCCAAGTTGGGTGGGAGTGTTGATGTGCTCGAGGGTAGGGAGGCTCTGCAGAGAGACCTGGACAGGCTGGAGCCATGGGCTGAGGCCAACTGGAGGAGTTTCCATAAGGCCAA